ATGGAAGGTGGAGGCAGGGGTCCTAATGTCCCAGAAAGTGAAGACTGACACCTGAGATCGTCCTCTGATCCCCACTGGTCCCATGGTGTGAGTGTGCCTGCACTCACATGTATGCACACATACACACACTTAATGATAGCCTACAAATTCCAAAACTCGTTTTTCTGTTTTAATAGTGAGGAAAACCACAGATCCTGAACAGCTGCAGGCTTCAAGAGTGATGCTTGCCAGTGGACACTTGCACTATGATACATCGAGTGATATGGGGATATATCTAAAAGGGAGCTGGCAGTGAACAGAGAGCATGGGTTGCCCCCAGGGACCCAACAGTTGGGCAGGGCCGGGCAGGGCAGGGATTCAGGTGTAGGTCTGCAGTGGCAGGATGGGGAAACACTAGGTGCTGTGAGGGCACTTGAGATGGAAGACAGGGTTCCTGGAGGAGGGTGCTTCAGGGTGAGGCTGAAGGAAGCGTGTGAGCAGAGGAGAGAATGGTTTCGGGTAGAAGTAATAGTGTGTTTCCAGAGGGGTTGGGGCACCCTAGGGCTCAACCCAAGCAGGAATTTGCAGAACATGGTTGCTATGGGGAGTGGGGAACAAGAAGGCTGAGGAAAAAAGAACTTTCCAAACTGAGACACCGGGGTTTTCATTTTGAAGCAATGCAGAGTTGTGGGCTACGTTTAAGCAGGGTGAGCTGGATTTCGGCATGCTTGTTTTAATTTATCACCTACTGATTATACCCAAGTCCACAAGCCCCATATCAGAAGCATTAAGTGCTACAAATGACACAGGTGGCTCCACTTCTCCATCCCACCCATGTCTCCCGCCTAACCAGTGCTAAAAGAACCATTCTCCCTTGGCTCTCCTTCCTTCGAACCCCCCCTTGTCCCATTCCCTCCTTATTAATTACATTGGTTGTTTTGTTTGGTGGAGGGGGGTATATGCATGCCATGGTGCACATAGGGAGGTCAGAAGACAACTTCCTGTAGTTGTTTCCTCCCTGGAAGCCTGCTGAGCCATCTCCTTAGCCTTTGTTTTTTGTTTGTTTTGCTGTTGTTGTTTTGGTTTTGTTTTGCTTTGCTTTGTTATTTCAAGATAGGGTTTTTTTTGTGTGTGTGTATCAGCCCTAGCAGTCCTGGAACTCAGAGATCCACCTGCCTCTGCCTCATGAGTGCTGGGATTAAAGGAGTGTGCCACCACCGCCCAACCTCCTCATACCTCTTTTAACAGCTTTTCCCTACTGGTTCCCTTTCTGATTACTACCCAGGCATCAAACTAACTCATGGGCAAGCAATGTCCATCCAGGCTTCTTGGGTTGAGCTCCCAGTGCAAGCCCTGCTTCCCTAGTCTTTGCTCCTGTAGGAGGGAAACCACCAGGACCAGGCTGAGATGTGGCATTGAGGTCAGGGACCTGCACCAGACAGCCCATCATCAAACCCCAGACAGAGATGGCACCCATGTGGCAGGTGAAACTCTAGGCCCCTTCCTAGGGCCTTGGCAGACATTACTAATCAATTGCATCACCTTCACAGTGAGTCAATCCAGAGCTGCAGACAACCACAAAAGTTGACTTGCCATTCTTGACCCAGACACCATCCAAAAGTCAGAGTGACTGACTCAGAAGACAAGCTAAAGGGTAGCGGTCAGAACACATGCAAGAGTTTCAAAATTGGTAAGGTAATGGACAGGACAAGGCATGGCCAAGCTGGCAAGGGAAGTGGTGACTCACATTCATCAGAAACGCTAGTTTACAGAGGGCTTTCTCTAAATACCCTGACTCTTGAGGTTAAATGACTCACTCCCATACTACAGATGAGGAGACAGAGAAGTCCCAGAGAAAGGGGTGCACCTGGTGTCACTCAGTGTTCTGATCCAGGTGGTACACACTTTCTCTGTGCTTCAACACAGGTAGCTCAAGACTCAGAGTCAGTTTCTCTTCTACCGAGTCCCCTGGAGCTGAAACTCAGGAGAAGGATGACAGGCAGAACCTGAGGCCTGCTGCTGGTGACCTAACCACTGCCTGGGACAAACGCTCAGGGGACATTTGCTGACAGGAGACATCTGGAGTTGCACATATATTACTACTTCAACACAGTTCAAGCTACCAGCAAAATGTCACAGGATACAGATTGAGAACAGGCGTTCATAGCCACCTCTGGTTTGGGAGCTGGTGCTACCTCACACATATTGGTACCCCAGCTTGGTTTTGTTATTTTGGGAGGTTCTGGAAATTTGGAACTGTGACAGAGCTGGAGAGAGTAGCTCATTGGGACATGTCTTTGGAAGA